ATACTAGTTTCAGGTGTACAAGGTAGTGATTCAACACTCCATATGACACCTGGAAGCACCTGGATTTTAAATCTTCCGAGGAGGAGGAGACACGAAAACAGTAGTCGTCCACTTACAGACGGCTCCTGGGCTCCAGCACAGCTAAGAGACCAAACACGCGCACAGTAGGGAACTAGAGAAAAAATTAAGACCTAGTGTAACGAGCAGTAGCGATCTGTTGAGTGCTGAGCCCTGAGCAGAGATGAGACAGCCCCTGCCTTGTGTGATTTGCCCTCGGTGGCATTAACCCTCACGACACAGCCATGGTTACTGAAAACAGAGGCATAAAGCAGTTTTCAAATGCAAAGGAAGACGTGGCTGATGAGGCCTGAGAAAAGGCGAGAAGAGGGTTAGGAGGAGGCATTTAAGGGTGGTCCTCAAGGATGCCAGGCGTGCGGTAGGAAAGGAGGGTGGACGCGGGGAGAAGGGTGCCAGGAGGCCCAGGGGCCCCGTTGGCGGCGAGTGCCGGAAGAGGGAGCAGACGGCCTTGATGGCGCCCGGTGCTGTGCTCAGAGAGGGTGCTGGAAATCCCTGCGGGCGCAGGCTGGAGAACGAGCCCGTGTTCGGCGGGTGCAGGGGAGTCACCTGATCAGATCACGCGTGTCGGAGGGGCAACTCCTTTTCACCAGAGTGGGGTGGATTGCTGGGAATGAGGAGAAGCTGGGGGCAGAGATGCCAGGAAGGTGCTTTGGTGATGGCCTGAGACAGAAACGCCCACTGGTGGAGTGCGGCATCACGCAGGTTGCTGGGGGGGGGGGGGGGCAGCCAGGGGGAGCGTTTTCATTCGCTCACCTTTTCTTTTTCCTGTTTTAACATCCTTACAGGTAGCCAAGGTGTTGTGGTGGTACTACTTCTCCAAGTCCATAGAGTTCCTGGACACAATTTTCTTTGTTTTGCGGAAAAAAACCAGTCAGATTACTTTTCTTCACGTATACCACCATGCCTCCATGTTTAACATCTGGTGGTGTGTTTTGAACTGGATACCTTGCGGGCAAAGTAAGTTCTGTTGTTGCTTTTTCAGTTCCGTGTCCTGGGTCTCGCGAGGCCTCTAGTGGGTGCCTGGGGTCGAATATTGTTGTACTGATGTGGCTCTGGAGACGGAAGAGGGAGGCACACGGCGCAGCACGCGGCTGCCTGCGTGGCCAGTTTCGTGTCTTTCGTTCCTGCAGAATGGGAGCGTTACCTTAATTTGTGAAAATACATTTTGTTTTCCCTCTGCGCCAAATGTCCGCGGGCCAGAAGCACGCACCCCAGCTGGAGTCATTTTACTCCAGCACCAGGGGCTGAAGGACTCCTGTCGAAACAAATCCAGCACCTTCCACTTGGTGGAGGTCATCACTCGGCTGTCCTATAGATTGGACTTTTTTTTTCCATTCTGAAAAGTTAAAGGCACATCTCTGTGTGGCTTCCAATGTTTGTTTTAACTGAGAGCTACAATGCGCCTTATATCACAGCCTCTTTACGTGTATGCACTTTGTGTGGAACAGAAATTTCAGGAGCTATTTACCCTAGCTCTGTGATGCACTTTGGGTTTTTGTTGTTGTCATTTCATTAATTCTGTTGCACTTTTTCAAAAAGCTGATGACCGCTCTCACTGCATTGATTTCATAGGCATTAATGGGTCCCTTCTGACCTGCAGTGCAGACAGTGGTACTTCCTATGTGATTGTCTTATATCCCCAGCTTTAAAAATCTTCTGTGAAAACTCAGAACAGGTAAAACTTAAGTCAAAATGATTTGGGGATCTTAGAGATATTTTTTAAATGTCAAGGAGAGGGGCACCTGCGTGGCTCAGTCGGTTCAGCGTCTGATCACAGTCTCACGGTTCGTGGAATCGAGCCCCACGTCGGGCTCTGTGCTGACAGTGTGGAGCCTGCTTGGGATTCTCTCTCCCTCCCTCTCAAAATAAACTTAAAAAAATAAATAAAATGTCAAGGATATTTGGAATATATCTGTGACTATGAAGATGCAAATTAAAACCAGAGTGTGAAGCAGGAAAGTGCTGGAGATGAAGTGGTCAGAAAGATGTTTTTATTTTAACTCTCTCCTGGACCAGATCTGGCTTCTTGAGTTTAGTGATTAAAACTATGATAGACTTAATGCTGTCATCAATATACAGACCGTAATCAATATCAAGCAATTATCAAGGTTAAGTATTTTTTGTGATTGTCAACAATTTCATTACAAATCACTCAACATCTAAACCTCCTTCTCACGTAATCCCCGTGTAAAGACCTGGGATTCTTGTAGATGAAATGCTGTGTGTGTGACAATTCACAGTCAACCTAAAATATTATAAAAATCATGTCCCAGGGGCTCCTGGGTGGCTCAGTCAGCTGAGCATCCGACTTCAGCTCAGGTCATGATCTCACGGTCCGTGAGTTCGAGCCCCGCGTCGGGCTCTGTGCTGACAGCTCGGAGCCCGGAGCCTGCTTGGGATTCTGTGTCTCCCTCTCTCTCTGCCCCTCCCTACTCATGCTCTCTCTCTCTCTCTCTCTCAAAAATAAATAAACATTAAAAAAAATTTTTTTTAATCATACCCCATTAATTCACGGTAATGAAAGCTCACGTGGTAAAGAAATACTGCTGTAACCAGTTATTCCAGCCAGTGTTTGCTGAGTACTTACTAGATTCTGGCGGTGGTGTCTGAGCCACCCAGACACCCCTGTTTCTCATTCATTGATTTGCATGGATCTAACCAGACCTTGATTTAGACTGGGAAAACCAGGCTACAGAATTTAAATTCATTAGCCAGCGTAGGTACTGCACTTTTCAGTTTCCGTAGCATTATGCACTCAATCCCAGCACCGCCCAGAGAGCCAGTTACTGTCCTGCCCATTTCCCAGGTGACAGAATCAAAATTTACAAAGTAAAACTAATGTATCTAAGGGGCCATAGCTGATAGGGGTCCTCTAGCCCCACAGCCCCTTCCACCGCAGGACTGAGAGCTCACAGCCCAGCCACCTGGATCCCAAAGTAACAGAGGTAGTGTTTGCTTTGCCAGGCACTGTCGTGAGCACTTTGTGTGTATCGATTGGTCTAATCCTCACGACAGTGGGTTCCCGGTCTCCAACAAATAGACCCGTCTCTGACATCTCACCCCTTCAAACTAAATCCTTTTGCTTCTTAGCTGAGCAACATAGAACTTCTCTCTTTTTCCTTTGGTTTCCTGAAACACCATTTGCCCACGTTGACGGAAGCTACAGGGACTTCACAAAGGTGGCGGCAGGGGCAGGGGAGTGATAACGGCACAAGTTAGGACAGAAATGTCCTGCAATTGGATTTTAGATATTCCTTGTCCTAGAAGTCCATGAGATGGTCCAGCCACTGGGAAGCCTCACTGGCCAGTCCGTTCCGCGCCCCGCCCCCCCCCCCCGCCCCATCCCGTCCCAGCCTTCTCTCCTGCTGCACCTTCTCTCACCTTGCTCTAGCTCTCCTGGTTCTAGGTCCCTTTCAGGTAGAATTTATTAAATGTAAAGAGCAGCCTGATCTCCTGGACTCTTTAGCGCCTTGTTAAGCCCTATACCGAAGGCCCTCTTTCCACAGTCGGAATGGCTCATCAGAGGCGTAGTGGAAGCAGAGACACTTCTCTTTCAAAGGAATTCTGCCACCGGTTTGAAGCTAACATTTCATTTTCTCCCTGATCGCTCGATAGTAACAACAGCTTAAGGGACAGTAAAGCCTTTGCAAATCAGGAATTACCTGTTTGGTTGGCACTCTGACTGAAAAACCATCCAGTTTTGTCCTATCTCGGTGACTTTTGCGGAATCCTGGAGCAAGAGCGCGGAAACGAGGGTGAATTCACCGTGTGGATTGTGGCAGATGATAGTGCCACAGGTGTGACTCATCTTCAGCCGTGCTGCACAGGAAGAATCCGTCTCATTTGATGAAGAATGAGCAGTAATTTTTATCCCATACTTTTACAGGTTTCTTTGGACCCACACTGAACAGTTTTATCCACATTCTCATGTACTCCTATTATGGCCTTTCTGTATTTCCATCTATGCACAAGTATCTCTGGTGGAAGAAATACCTCACGCAGGCTCAGCTGGTATGTTATCCCTTCGTTCAGCTCCTCTCCCTGTGAAGCATCGAATATCCTCATGGAGGAAAGAAATCTGTCCCCATATGCAGAGGCTTTGCTATGTGTGAGGAGGCTGCCTGTTTTCCTCTAAAAAGAACCTTTTAAGGATTAAAATCTAGTGTGTCGAAATAAGCTACCTTATTCCTTGCCTCGAAGTGACAGTGATTTAACACAGACGTTAATTTTAAGATTCATTTTTATCTAAATAAGTGCAACTGCTACTCTTCCATGAGAAAACGAGCAGGCAATTAAATATACTGACTAGCATCGTTTCAAGCGAAATTTCTGGGTAGGATAGTGTGCTGCTTCCGCAGTTTTGCTTTCTTCCTGCAAAACCTAGGGAGTAACAGGAGTCGACTTCTAAATGTTTTGTATTTCCAAATGGTGTGTTGCGTGGCTCGGCCTGGCCGCCCCCCAGTGACGCCCCCCACCCCCCACCCCCCCGCAGGTGCAGTTCGTGCTGACCATCACGCACACGCTGAGCGCGGTGGTGAAACCCTGCGGCTTCCCCTTCGGCTGTCTCATCTTCCAGTCGTCCTACATGCTCACCTTAGTCATCCTGTTCTTAAATTTTTACGTTCAGGTAAGTGAAATGTACATCTCCGGTGGCGGAACATAGCAGACTGCGCTCTCGCCTTAACGTTGGTGTTTAATTTGCCCGAGGAAATCCACTAGCACGTGCTGGTCGGTGATGGAGGCTCGCAAAGTAGAGAGTGAAAACTAACTCTCCCCCCGCCCCCAAGCCCTCCCCTTGAAGGAAAACCACCATGAATAGCCTTAGTGGGCATTTTATTAAACATTTTTCAGTGCATGCATAAAAAGTTGAATGAAGTCACACATTGGTAACATGGGACAAAAACATGAAACAGGGTCTTATATCTGAATCCAGGGCCTCTATACAAATGGAGAAGAACTTAGGCTGAATGAATTGAATATTAAAAAATCATTTCCATATCAGCACGGTGATGTTGTAACCTCACTATCTGGAAAAAATTCTTTTAAGGCAAGCCACCGTGGAAAGGTCACATTGGCTTTTTCTTTACTAAATGTCATTTTCTTTTTAATCAACAATTTAAATGGAACAGGGCTCCAAAACACGACATCAAAGCAATTCCATTAATACAAAAACTGATGAAGGGGGAGCAGAGTGCAGGCCTCAGGTGGTGGTAGAGTTTAAATTGCTCTCCTTTGTGGGCTGGGGAAATAGAAAGTAAGCTTCATGAAAAAAAGATGAGAACATACATTTCTATTCCAAACAGTACTTTCCAAATTGAAATCAACTGTATTTCTTTCTTTAGACAATAAATGCTTCGTTTTTTTTTTTTTAGTTGGCATTTGCTAAAGGTTAACCTGTGGTGGCTTCTCACAAAGTACAACTGTGGGAAAGTGAACTGCTGACAGTCTTTTCAGCGCCATTGGACTGGCTAGGCTTTGTCTTTTATAACAGATAGAAGTTTCCTTTGAGAATTTCTGAAGAAATAACCATTGATGGAACCAAACAAAGCCACCCCCCCAAAAAAAAACCCCAAAAAAACAAAAACAACTCACACAGCAAAACTGACTGTTAACAGGAAAGCTAAGTGAGTCAACGTGGCACTTGGTGTTGAACCTTGAGGATGAGCAGGTAGCCGGCAGGGTGGGCAGTGGGCGTTCAAAACGTTGACCCTACTTTTTGGTTCACACAGAGTCTTACTCCTTTAGACTTGAGTATATAATTTCAGGCTTGACCCTTGTTAATATAGGTGCTTTAAAAAAAAAAAAAAAGTAAAAATGAGACAAAGTCAGGTATTTGGGCAGAATAAGAAGGATATGCCAAAAACCAAATCAAGCCAGAATCCTGGATACTGGTACTTTTAAGATAACAGCATTTTTTCCAACTTGAATTGGAAAGGATCTAATTTTTAGGAAATGCAAGTAAGCAACTAATGCAGAATAATTTGAATGCCAGTCCTGTAATACATAAATCCTAACCAGTGTAGAGAAGGTGACAGAAACAACCTTTCATTGGAATTCATTCACATTTGTCTCGGTTTTTACCCTATTTTTAGTTTTAACCATTAGCTTAAAAATTGTCAGACAAAAATTCTTCTTTGGTGGGGGGCCTGGGTGGCTCAGCCGCTTAGGCATCTGACTCTTGATTTCGGCTCAGGTCACAGGTCGTGAGTTCAAGCCCTGGGATTCTCTCTCTTTCCCTCCCTCTCTGCCCCCCCCCACTTGTGTTCCCTCTCTCAAAATAGATAAACTAAAACAAATTCTTACCTGTCCAATACCCAATAAAATCATGAACAGTTTTAGATTATATGCCATGTCGAAGTCTTATTCAAGAATCCTTTTTTCCCTCTCTTCAAAATATATGCATCCAACAGACGTACCGAAAAAAGCCAATGAAGAAAAATACGCAAGAGCCACCTGCAGGGAAAGAAGTTAAGAACGGTTTCTCCAAAGCCTGCTTCACTGCAACTAATGGGGTAATAAACAAGAAAGCACAGTAAATGCCCAGTAATAGACAAAGCATATATAATAGCCTCACAGATTCGCTTGTTTTAAAGCAAAGACTGAATTGAAAGTTATATATGTTTTAGCATAAACTAATTTCTTTTGAGTTTATAAATCATTTGTACCCGGAATGTATTAATATATTGCTATTAGGTTAATCTGTTAACTGAATGCTTCCGTCAACATACGTGTCACCTCAGACACTGAACTCTGTAGACCTCAGAACTGGTGCGGCTCTGTCTCCTCCCCACAGACTGACCCCCTCACCAGAACCGTCGGTATAACGCCTTATACACGTACAAAGCCAGGAAACACGGAGCCTTGTTTTCCGAAGCCAGTCTTCAAATAAAAAGTTTTCTTCAGATTGAAGTGTTTAAAACAAAATGTTAATTACCTTTCTAACTACAGGGTGTCTTAATCTATATTAAGCACTGCTCGCCAGTGTGTAATCAGTCCATTTGTTCCATTAGGACCTGACCCCAGAAAATATGAAAAGGGATTTTAAACGGAAGACAGGAGAATCTAGCACAACTTTTCTCTCTTAAGGTAGAGTCTGTCAAATTCCTACACTAAGTCTCAACTTAGTGATATGGTAATGAAATTTGTATTTGATTTTGACAATTACTTTTCCTAAGAAGAAAAACTCTTCTGCCAAATCCTCATAGCTCAGGGGCTTCGGATGGGAGTAGTTTCTCACTTTTTAATTTGGTTTCCTTAACTATTCACATAGTCCTGTCAACCTCCCATGTTAAATTACCCTAGTTTAGGTTGTAAATGGACACCATGATCGGTTTTAAAAGCAGCATCTGAATCTGGCTGCCCGCTTTCGGATCAAAGAATTTTCCCTTCTCCTTGGAAGACTAAGCCACTGGAATATTTATGAATCAGAGCAGTTGGGGCAAAATAGACATTGAATTTGTCCACTCTTGTATTATCCCCAAATACCTGCTGTCACTCTTTTCAGGTTAAGTTTTTGAAAACAGGAAGAAAAAGAGGACTATGGAAAGATCCCAACATTGATTGAGCCTTGGGCTGGTAATGAGCCACAGTGAAAAGTGCCAATTTGGCAAACCCGGTATATCCTACCCCTGCCCAGGTAACACGAGTTCTCCTGAGAACAGGCACAAAAGTGGAGGAAAACATATTTTTTTCCTCCCTAAATATTGGACTTTTACTACGAAATTGCATCAAGCATGGAAGCAATATGTTTTGAAGATGTGAGGAAGATTTATACCCTATGAAACTACTAAAAGACTTGCCAACTTTGACGCTTTTCTTTCCGCTCTTCCCTTTAAAGAGGTCATCATGTTAAGGTCAAACACGGAAGTGCCAGAAAGGCATGCTTGCCATTACCCAGTGTTCAATCTGGGAGTGCCTCTCTGTCCTTTTCCCCCCCTTGCTTTCTAGTCTGAAAATTATTTCCCCCGTTTAAAAAAGAGCACGGACTTGGGGACGGCATTGCACCACGGACACCAATCCAGGTCTCCCACTTCCCGCTCGTGGCCGCTACCCTCTCAGGCCCAGCCTGCTTTGCAGAAGGTGACTGACCTTAGCTGGTCTTCGTGGGAAACGTGCTGTGCAGATGCGTGCATGTCACATGTGGGCACTTGGTCCATTTTTATCGAAGACACCCACTTACTCTTGGATTTATTTTTCTAAGTTTTCTAAAGCTGATTTTTCTAGGGTGCCTAACCCCCACTTCCTCCCATCCCATCCTAACAGTGTTATGAGTACTGTCCTCTCCCAGAAACCTGTTTCAAAACAAGGGCTAGCTTCCAGGAGTTCTGTTATTTCTCCTCTGTAACAAAACGCGAGCTGGACTCCAGTGCAGTTTGGGGTCCCAAACAAGGGCTGAAATCGGTGACCAAAGTGCATTCCAGGTAAAAATGAGACACAGAGGGAAGCCAGACCTCACTGGTTGTTCATCGTAAGCAGCTTATTCTCAAATGTCAGGGAGGCCCTAAAGTCTCAGACTCTGCATCACACCTGCAGTTTTGGTGACCTCACGGACCCCATACTGGCAGAACAAGGAGGGAAGCCAGCCTTCGGCAGAATGGCAAAGCCAGACAGCTGTAAGTACAAGGCAGTTCGAAACCTCTCAGATCGAAGGGAAAAACGTGAGTAGTTGGTACTTCCAAGCTCAACTTAGAGGCGTTAGGATGCTATTTTCCCACTGGGGCTTTCATTCTTGTGAAGCCGACCAAACACTTCTAGCCTTAAACCATTCAAGGGCTGATGCAAGAGCCATGAAGTCTTAGCCACAAAAACTGAATCAGGTAAATATTTTAACCTATCTTTAAGCGTTGGAATTTTAAAAAAAAAAAGTCTACATTTAATGTGATTTTCCTAGAACCAGGAAAAAAACCTCTCTAATCTGTTAAAAACTTTTGTGCCTGAATTTCCTTTTACTCATTAGAATGAAAATATTTAATACTATAAGCACATGTTACAAATTCAATTTTTTTAAACAAAATGGAATGATAAATGGAAATGAGACATTTTCAACCCATCAAAATTATACATTGAACCAGTTAGGCTTATTGAAAGATGAGGTCCTCCCTATCCCCGTCAGAGGTATCTATTTTTATTGGTAAGGAAAAATGATATTTACTGTGATGGGCAGAACCGCACTTTGTAAGAGACCATTCTGATACTTCCGTATCATTTTATGATGTTTCTAGAGTCTTCCTTATTTGGAAAATAAGGATATCACTTTTTTGTTTTCTTTTGAAAGTACTTGAGAACATAATATGATTGGGGTGGACAGGGAAGCAGGAGAAGCCATTTTTCTTTGTAGACAGATAAAAAGCATTCTGTATGATTGTTGTATAATAAATTTTTACACTAAAGCAAAGCATGTTGAGATTATTCTTATTTGGTTGCAAGAAGTTAAAACGTGTGCCTGCGTGGTATTCCAAATGACCAATTTTACTCAGGAATTTTTTAATAAAGGGATATTTTAGTAATTAATTTTAGACATTTAATTCATTTCAGTAAAAAGTGCATGGCCTTTTATGTAGCATTATTAGTATATGAATACTATGTAAAACTATTTCAGAAAATGGTCATTACAAGAAAAACGTAGGACCAATTAGAGGAGTAGAGCTATAATGGCTACTATAAATTTAATGGTTTAATATAATGGTTATATTAAATTTACTGTGTGGGAGCACCAGCTTGGTTGAGGGGACGATGTTAGGCAGAAACACCATACAGTGCTCTGGAGCCTCTGACCATCACTCTGTAGAGTGCCCAGACCAGCAGAGAGGGTGCTGCTTCCGCTCAGGAGTGGGATGTGAGCTTTGACCATAGGGAAGCCCAAGAAAGACACGTCAGTCAAGGTCATGGGGCAGGATCACCGATGGGTGGTGCATCAATGGAGAGTTTTGAACGGTTACATTAAAGAGAACAAGACAGGCCCAAAGGCCATGCTCAAAGTCTGTTTACGAAATGGCTTAAATTCCTGGATGGTAACAGGGATGGGGCAGGGGTGGGAGAAAGGGTACGAGAGGTGGCACAGAAGGGGAGAAGGTTCAGTTTCGCTATCTGAACGGGGACCCGAGTTTTTTGGGGCGGGGGGGGGGGAGGGAGAGGACATTTTAAAAAGTTTCCTTGTAACCTACTGAGGCTTCATTTTAAACAGTGGGTGGAACCAATTCACGTGTGAAAAGAAACCTTTTTGTCTCTGTGGCAAGGCCTAATAATTCGTCGCAGAGTGAAAGAGCCGCCTGACACGTGGGAAGCATTCACCTAAACACATTTCCTAGTTTCTGTATACAAAGAAGATTGCCATGTGTTTTTATTACAGCAGGCTTGCTTCAAAATCAGCTACGTTCACATACTTAGGGGACAGCTGTCTTCCCAGGCAAAGAAGTAAGCGCTCGTACAAGACTACGGTCACCTAAGATATCCCTTCACCTTCTTCGCCTTCAGTCATGGAGAAGAGGAAACGTGATCAACGTGTAGGTCATTTTGCCCTGTTAAAGCGTGTAGAGGGGACACTGGAATAAGAGCAGGAGGGCGCAAATCTGAAATTTGTACCCTCATCGGGCAGCTTGTCAGCACAGGTCATCGTGGATCTGCGGAGCAGCTCACGGGGAGCCCTCGAGGAAGGTGTCTGCGGCCAGGTCACGTTCGGCAGCCCGGGTGAGGCAGACCTCTGCTCCCTCCGTGCACTTGAAGCTCGTGGCACCGACCTGTGCCGTTTGCAGGCACTGCCGTCTGTAGCCCGGAGATGGGCCCGTGAGCTTGTTTTTGCCACAGTTACCATCTGCCTTCGGTCAACAAACCTAGCCGCCCCCCGAAAGGCACGTGGGTCTGTGACTCCCAAGCATTGAACAACAAAAGGCAAGGTTTTGCAGCGTTGCCTGGGATAATGTCACGTACGAAGAGGGAAATGAACTTCACACCTGCTAGTAACGAATAGAAGTTGCACATTTCTCTGAAAGATTTAAGCACTCTGCCTGGGCTAGTCCATGTAAAACTGGCCCTTATGTTTTTAATGCTAGTTTAGTCCTACGGGATCTGATAAACTCTGGAAATAGGAATGTTCACTTAAATATTTGTCAAATCTACCTCGCCCAGTGCTGCGTATTACACTAGAGGTACAGAGGCGCCCCACGTGAAATCCTGCCCGTAGCCTTCATAGTCTGGTTAAGTAGATGGAGAAATGTTTAGTTAGAAAATAATGGATGCGTTAAAAATAGTGGGGGCACCTGGGTGGCTCAGTCGGTTAAGTGTCCGACTCTTGGTTTCTGCTCAGGTCACGATCGCGCAGTTCATGTGTCCGAGCCCCACATCAGGCTCTGCGCTGACCGTGGGGAGCCTGTTTGGGATTCTCTCCCTCCCTCTCTGCCCTTCCCACACACTCTCTC